AGTGTATTCATGCACTTTGATATATCATACATAGATGGGATATAATTTCTCATTTTTCTAAGTATACATGTTGCAGAATCATATTGGTCAGGTAGTCACATATACACATACAGTAATAATGTCTGTTTCATTCTACTATCTTTCCTATCCCCACATTCCCTCCTCTCCCCTCTCATCACTTCCCTCTACCTAATTTAAGGTAACTCTATTCTTCTCTAGTGCCCCCCATCTTATTGTGAATTAGCATCCGCATATTAGAGAAAACATTTGGCCTTTGTTTTTTTTGGATTGGCTTATTTTTCTTAGCATGATATTCTCCAGCTCCAACCATTTACTGGCAAATTCCATAATTTTACTCTTCTTTAAACCTGAGTATTATTCCATTAGGTTTATATACCACATTTTCTTTATCCATTTATCTATTGAGGGACTCCTAGGTTGGTTTCATAGTCTAGCTATTGTGAATTAAGCTGCTATAAACATTGATGTGGCTGCATCACTATAGTATGCTGATTTTAAGTCCTTTGGGTATGAACCAGGAGTGGGATAGCTGGGTCAAATGGTGGTTCCATTCCCAGTTTTCTGAGGAATCTTTATAATGCTTTCCATAGTGGTTGCACTAATCTGCAGTCCCATCAGCAGTGTGTGAGTGTACTTATTTCATCACATGCTAGCCAGCATTTATTGTTGCCTGTCATTCTTAATGATTGCCATTCTAACAGGAGTGAGATGAAATCGTAGAGTAGTTTTGATTTGCATTTCTCTAATTGCTAGAGATGTTGAACACTTTTTCATATATCTGTTGATCAGTTGTATTTCTTCTTCTGTGAAGTGTCTGTTCAGTTCCTTAGCCCATTTATTGATTGGGCTATTGGATTTTTGTGTGTGTTAAGTTTTTTGAGTTCTTTATGTATCCTAGAGATTAATGCTTTATTGGAATTGGTTGTAGTAAAGACTTTCTCCCAAACTGTAGGCTCTCTCCTCACTTTTATTAATTGTTTCCTTTGCTGAGAAGAAGCTTTTTAATTTGAATCTATCCCATTTAACTCTTAATTTTACTTCTTGAGCTTTAGGAGTCTTATTAATGAAGTCAAATCCTAGGCCAATGTGGTAAAAATTTGGGCCTCTTTTTTCTTCTGTTAGGCACAGGGTCTCTGTTCTAGTGCCTAAGTCTTTGGTCCACTTTGAGTTGATTTTTGTGCAGGGTGAGAGATAGAGGTTTAATTTCATTATGGTACATATGGATTTCCAGTTTTGCCAGCACCATTTATTGAATAGACTATCTTTTCTCCAGTGCATGTTTTTTGGCACTTTTGTCTAGTATGACATAACCATATTTTATGTGGGGTTGTCTCTGTGTCCTCTATTCTGTTCCATTGGTCTACATGTCTAATTACATGTCTATTTTGGTGCCAATACCATGCCATTTTTATTACTATAGCTCTGTAGTATAGTTTAAGGTCTGGTATTATGATGCTTCCTGCTTCACCTTTCTTGCTAAGAAGTGCTAAAAGCTATTCTGCGTCTCGTATTTTTCTAAATAAATTTCATGATTGCTTTTTCTAATTCTGTGAAGAATGTCCTTTGGATTTTAATAGGAATTACATTAAATCTGTATTTGGTAGTATGGCCATTTAGACTATATTAATTCTGCCTATCCAGGAGCATAGGAGATCTTTCCATCTTCTGAGGTTTTCTTCAATTTCTTTCTTTAGTGTTCTGTAGTTTTCACTGTGAATGGAGTAGTTTTCCTAATTTCTCTTTCAGTGGATTCTTCGCTGATGTATAGGAATGAGTTTGATTTATGGGTGTTGATTTTATATCCTGCTACTTTGCTGAATTTATTTATTAATTCTAGAAATTTTCTGGTGGGATTTTTTGGATCTTATAGAATCATGTTTTCAGCAAATAGTGATAGTTTGAGTTCTTCTTTACCTATTTGTATCCCTTTAATTTCTTTCTTCTGTCTAATTGCTCTGGCTAGAGTTTCAAGGATGATGTTGAATAGAATTGGTGAAAGAGGACATCCTTGTTTTGTTCCAGTTTTAAGTGGAAATGCTTTCAATTTTTCTCCATTTAGAATGATGCTAGTCTTGGGTTTAGCATATATAGCTTTTACAATGTTGAGGTATGTTCCTACCATCCCTAGTTTTTCTAGTGTTTTGAACATGTAGGTGTGCTATATTTTGTCAGATGCTTTTTCTGCATCTATTGAGATGATGTTGTTTTGAGATCTTGTTTTAAAACTATTAATATGATATATTACATTTATTGATTTCCATATGTTGAATTAACCCTGCATCACTGGGATGAATCCCACTTGATCATGGTGCACTGTCTTTTTAATGTTTTTGTATATGATTTGTCATTGAGAATTTCTGCATCTGTGTTCATCAGGGTTATTGGTCTAAAGTATTCTTTCCTTGATGGGTCTTTGTCTGGTTTTGCTATCAGGGAGATATCAACCTCCCAGAATGAGTTTGGAAGGGTTCCCTCCTTTTCTGTTTCATGGAGTACTTTGAAGCATATTGGTGTTAATTCTTCTTCGAAAGTCTTGTAGAATTCAGCTGAGAATCCATCTACTCCTGGGCTTTTCTTGGTTGGTAGGCTTTTGATGGCGTTTTCTATTTCATTACTTGAAATTAATCTACTTAAATCAGAAATATTTGTTTTAATGATGCTATTTTGACAAGTTAACAGTCTCTAAATAAATTATTGTATACTTTTTTTGCACTTAAATTAAGAACCAAAGTACAGACTAAGACCACTAATTTTATAGTCTGATCAAATCTTAGAACCAGAAATCTAAGACACACTGTACACTCTTCTATTCATTTTAAAGGAGGAAGCTGAGGCACAGGGAGAGAATCTCTAATAGCAAAGCAGTTTGGGATGTTCTCTCTTCAACTATCAGATTTTGTTTAGGGTGTTCTGAGGACCCAATACATGCCTAATTTTCCAGCCTATATTCAGAGCCAGTTGAGAAAGACAAAGGAGATGTGGCAAGTGAATACCAAAATACTCAATTTTATTATTGTTAATATACTGCAGTAGGAGTCAGGTATTTCAAAACTTCCTAAAACTATACCCTAAAGAGAGAGTCTTCTCGTTCGAGGAAAAATTTTTTAAACTCATGGCTATATTTTCATGAGGTTCATTGTATATTTATTAAGACAGTAATGTTTATAGAAAACAATCATTGTCCAGTAAAATTTTAGTTTTTTTTAAATCATGAGAAGGAATGTTTAAAACAATGTCTAAAAGTGTTTCTTCCTTGATAAAGCATGTATTTTCTGAAAATCAAAAATGGAGTCTTTAGGCATGAAATACATTTTGTCCAATTATAATTTTAGAAGACTTGTGAAGGCTTTGGGCTGCTTTTGTACCTCTACAATCTTGTTTACTATAGGAAAATATTAGCTACTTCAAGATTTTTTTGTGTGTGCATCCTTCATTGAGGTGCTTTATACTACCATGTTAGATTTTTATCTCCAGTGGAGAGCTTTATTTTATAACAAACATAAACACATAATCCATTATTACAAATGTTTACATATGCAAGAAGTGCCAAGTACAATAGGTGAAGTATGACAGAACACACAGGAGTGACCAGCCACCTGGGAGAATTAAGGGGATTTTTCAGAGTGGGTCACATTTGAGATCATCTTTAGGAATGAGTAGGTGGTCATCATGAAGGGAAGATGGCATTCAGGGCTGAAAGAACAACTTATACAAAATATGAAATTACATGGCACATATATTAGTGTCTTTATATTGTTTGGAACTAGGTGTGTTCTCGGTGTTAGAGCACGGACGAAGGATGCACTTGCCTAGCATGTGTGAGACACTGGGTTCAATTCTCAGCACCACATATAAATAAATGAATAAGATAAAACTTTATCAACATCTAAAAACTTTTTTAAAAAGCCCTAGGTTTTATCTCCCAGCACCTCAAAAATAATTAAAAAAAAATTTAATTGTTTTAATTCAGAGAGGGCACTTTTTTCCACTTTTGCTATAATTAAACATTCATAACATAAAATTTACAATTTTAAGTGAATATCAGTGGCATTAAGTACATTCACATTGCTGCACAGTCATTGCCACTATTTCGTGAACTTTCTCATCACTCCAAACTGAAATTCTGTACCCATTAAATATTAATCCCCCATTCTCCTTTTTCCTCAGCCCCTGTTAACTTCTGTTGTACTTTCTATGAATTTGCCTCTCTAGGTACCTCTTAAAAGGAGGATCATACATGTTTGTCATAAAATAAATGATCATACAAATAATTATGCAAAATGAAATATTTCACTTATTTCACTTAGCATGTTTTCAAACTTTTTTCATGTCATAGCATGTGACACAATTGCATTTATTTGCATGACTGAGTAATGTTGTCTATGTGTACCACATTTTATTTATCCATTCATTTGTCTGTGGACATACCTGTTGGCTGGTATGAGTAATGCTGCTGTGAACACTGATGTGGAAGTATCTTCTTGAGATACTGCTTTTAATCATTATAGTTACATAACCTTGTAGAATTGCTAGATCATAAGGTAATTCTGTGTTTGCCTTTTGGAGGAATCACCAGGCAGTTTGAACCATGTCAGCTGYACCATTTTGCATTCCCATCAGCAACACACATAGGGTGTCAAAGACTCCACATCCTTGCAAACATTGTAGTTTAAAGTTTTGAAAAAAAATTTACTAAACCACATAGAAGTTCTGTAAGAACTATGGGAAATACGTTCATACAGTCTTTACACTAAAAATGACCTTTAGATGGTGAGCATTAGAAAAAGTTTGCATGAGCCAGCATCAGAGAATATTGACCTTTCTCTTATTGTTTGTGTAGCAGAATGCATTCATGGAAAAGCCTTTGAAATATGAAAATACTTTTATAAAGTCAAATTCTCAAGCATAAAACAAATCGAGGTGGATTTGTAATCTGCATGTCTCTGCTCTTAACAAAACAGTTTTCTTTTTTCCTGCAGCTCCCTGTACAGGCAGCACTTTCTTTTGCCATAGCAACATGTGCATCAATAATTCTTTAGTCTGTAATGGTGTTCAAAACTGTGCATACCCTTGGGATGAAAATCATTGTAAAGGTGAGTCCAAGGCAAAAGCCAACTGTTTTGAGAAAAGAGTGACTGTTGCCTTTCATTAAGGAAGACTTAAAATGTTCTTTTTGTACAACAGTGCTTAGTATAACTACTTGCAGAAATGGAGACTTTTTTTCATGGGTAATAGACCTCTGGGATGTGGTAAAAGCAAAGAAAAACACTTATTCTCAACAAAAGCAGTTTTTTGTTTACAGTATGTTTTTATCTTAAGTTGTTCAAAAGTTGTCATATTTCTTGCCCCTGTTTTATTTTCTTATTGTGGTTGAAATCTGTCATTTGTGTTCTAAAGATACCTAAATTAATTGTGAAAATAATTTAGAGGACAGCCTTTTATTTTTTTTTAAGTTATATGGAAACACTATAATAAAAATCAACTAATAGATTCAGGTTTACAATATAAGAGCAGACCCATTCAAAGAACTGCTTTTAATTTCATCAAATCTGCTTTGCCATAYTTCCAATCTATATCTTCTGAAAGATAAATATGGCTTGTGATAACTGTTGAATGCTTGCCAGTTGGTTGTCAAAGCAGTATGTCAGAACTAAGATTTAKCTACCTTTCATCCTCCCAAGTGTTCAATAAATTTCTATGAAAAGGTGATATAATGTGACATGGCTGTATTAAGTACTTGACATGAAATATTTTCAGGTAATCATTCAAAAACAGTAGACCATGATAACATTTTGGTGGCTAGTTAGATCTTATTTGTTCTCTTTTCCTGGTGGTCATCAGTATAGATCTTGTTGATATGCTTAAACATAGCAGTTGGTCAAACCTACCATATAGCAGAAAGTTAAACTTGATAAAATAAGAATATTTATTTCGGCATTTTCTATATTAATGCATCCAATTTGATTTGCAAGTTGTAAGCTTTTCTATACCTTTCAGCAAAGTAACCAAGTACTTTTTTTGTAATCTGTCTAGTCATATTGTGATTAGTTACTTTACCCAGAGRTCATAACACTAGGATTGTTGTTTTTGCCCAGAGATCATAAGACTAGGATCGTTGTGTTTGTTTAAAAGCTTAATTTTCAGTTGCATTGTCTGTGATATATTTGACCTATATTCTGCTTTTCCTAAAAATCCTTTACCAGTTTGTTCCAGGACTTCTATTAATGAATTTTGAAAAGCTTAATGTTTCTCTTTCTCTTTCTACAGAAAAGAAAAAAGCTGGACTATTTGAACAGATCACTAAAACTCATGGGACAATTATTGGCATTACATCAGGAATTGTCTTGGTTCTTCTCATTATTTCTATTTTAGTACAAGTGAAACAGCCCCGAAAAAAGGTCATGGCTTGTAAAACTGCTTTTAATAAAACTGGGTTCCAAGAAGTGTTTGATCCTCCTCATTATGAACTATTTTCACTAAGGGACAAAGAGATTTCTGCAGACCTGGCAGACTTGTCAGAAGAATTGGACAACTACCAGAAGATGCGGCGCTCCTCCACTGCCTCCCGGTGCATTCATGACCATCACTGTGGATCGCAAGCATCCAGTGTCAAACAAAGCAGGACCAACCTCAGTTCCATGGAACTTCCTTTCCGAAATGATTTTGCACAACCACAGCCAATGAAAACGTTTAATAGCACCTTCAAAAAAAGTAGTTACACTTTCAAACAGGCACATGAGTGCCCTGAACAGGCCCTAGAAGACAGAGTAATGGAGGAGATTCCTTGTGAAATTTATGTCAGGGGGCGAGAAGATTCTGCACAAGCATCCATATCCATCGACTTTTAATCTTCTACTAAAGGTGATATTAATTATTAAGTATGTATGTATGCAACCTACAGAGCAGCCATTCTGATTTCAGTAACCAACTCTATTTTCCTGTCAAACTAGGAAGACCTTCATTTGCCATTTCCCTATCACATTGATGACATTTTTATCATCTCAGGCAGTCTCTATGTTAAGCCAAACAAAGGAACTTAATACATTTGGTAGAAAAAAAAATAATCATCATATGTTGCTTGATGTCATATAAACAAAATCATCACCAGTTACATAGCAAGTGAAGAGGGGCATTGGTGGTGTTGGGCTGCCTGTTAGTTTTAGCATCAGAAATACTGCTCTTGACTGATAAAGCTCTGCCAATATTTTGAACCCATAATAAACTTAAAAATAAGGTTTGTCTTTATATTCCTCTTATTTTTCTTTTCTATTATTTGTTTTATATGCCTATAGTTTTGCCATTACTGTATCCTAATAAGTGGTTAATACACCACTTACCTCAACACAGGCATTTGTTGTTAAACTTGTCAAAATACAGTTGATTTAGTTCTGTTTTTCTACACTAATTTTTACACTACTGCCTTTTAATTACTGGATTGTTAGTCCTTATTTTCTATGAGAAATAGATGATATAATTTTCGCCTTTAAATCATAYCTTATCTCTGTTGTATTATACTAGTAAACTTCATGATCCTGAGATATATGCACCTTACCAGTTATGACTAAAAATTTGAGAAAGACAAAAATGTCTAGCAAATCTTTGAAATCGCCTACATTCGGTCACATTCGGTGACAGCCCATTCATTCCAGTAGACAGTCATTTAATTCACTTGTGGGGAGATCTATAATTGTGTTTATTTACAGTGTTTCTCATCCCCAAAACTACATTTCCTATTATTTTTGTAAGAAGATTACTTCCTTTGTATTGGTTTATCTTTTGACATTTGGTAACCCAAGATTCTGTGAGAGTTAAAGGAAAATTCCTAAGAAACTGTGAAAGCCTTTTGATTGCTTCTTTCTTAGGACAGCACATTTTTGTAACTCTTATCAAGAATACCAATTTCAACTTTTTTTTAAACTGCACTTTTGACCTTATTTTTTTTATGGTATATAAAACAATAATTTATAAACATGATATAACTCATTTGTGTTTTTTTTAGACTTTTTTGATATTATTTGATACTGTACAAACTATTAAGTCAAGATGAAAGACCTACATGAAGATTTCTTTCAGTGTTCACATTAGCAGCTTTGTATACAAACATGCTTTGTTGGAACTGTACACCCATAATTTATTATAAAGACCTTGGTAATGTGTACATAGGCTTTCTCTTTCCTTTTGTTGCTGTATTTAGTTTGTGATAAATCTTTCACTGTATGATATTTATTGCTCTAAATCACTACACATCTTATTAAAATAAGCATTGTTACATGATCATTCAATCATGTTATTTATGGCACTGATATTTTGGGTCTTAAGATATATGTGGAATGAAATCCATTTATTGAATTGTAACTAATAGAGAGACATGTCATTTATAAGAGGTAAATTCTCGTTTTTTACATTTCTTGTAGTAAATTCTCAATGAAATGAGAAGTTGAGGTTTCACTGGTTTCATTCATTCATCCTTTTACATAGATATGTTCTTTCAGATTAGTGAATGCTGTGACACAATACTGCCTCAGTGTTTCCTGTATCACATTTTTTTATTTTTAAAAAAGTATTTTATATCGAGAAGATAACTTACACATAGTATATTCATGATTTAATTTTTTTAAGTCATCATAATTTCCTCTCTTAAAAATACAACTCGGAAGACTTAATGAGGGGCTGGGGCTCAGCAGTAGTGCACGTGCCTGGCATGTGTGGGGCACTGGGTTCGATTCTCAGCACCACATATAAATACATAAAATAAAGGTCTATCAACAATTAAAAAATTAAAAATAAAAGATTTTTAATGAACTAATACCAGAGAAATTGGATAACTTGTTTCACGAGCTGAGTAGGCCTTTTGATTTTAGTAGGTAACTTAGACCAGCCAATATTTGAACAATGTAGTAAATAAATTCTTGTTAATACAACAACTGTGATTTTGTTAGGATGATGAGAGAGATTAGCATATTTTCTACATGAAATTTTATTTATTATACAATAGCTGGTAAATTCATCCTTAACCTCTAGATTAGAGTAGGAAATGCTTAACTATATTATTGATGGTCACTTGTAACTATTTTTTTTTATTTTTTTAGTTGTAGATGGACATAATATCTTTATATTTTATTTATTTATTTTTATGTGGTGCTGAGGATCGAACCCAGTGCCTCATAGGTGCAAGGCAAGCACTCTGCCACTGAGCCACAATACCAGCCCCTAAGTTTTTATTTTTGGAATTTGTATCCTGTTTTGAAAGGACTTAAAGAGATCTACAAAATAGAGCGCCTTTGAAGAAGACATTGAATGTTAAGTTGCTGAGACTGGCTCCAAACTTGCAGTCCTCCTGTCTCAGTCTCCCAAGTCACTGAAATTATAGGTATGCATCATCACACCCATATGACATTGAGTATTAAAACAGAATAGAAATACATGGTTTCACACAACTTAGAAATAAAGCTTGAACAGTAAATCTGATTCTAAATTTTCTGGCTGCTAAAATGAAAAAGGTTTTCTTTTTTTCAGTAGAAAGCACAAACTTGCCACCATGGGCTAGTTTCTGTAGGACTTGAGTATCTTTTAAGAGGAAATTTCCTCAACATTTAAGAAAGATAAAAAGTGCAAGAATAGGTTGTAATGATAAATCTTAACCTGGTAAAGGCACAATTTTAATGTGATCTAGTAACATTGTTTTCTGTTTGCAGAGATAGAACTAAAGAACCAAGTGATCAATAGCTTAAACTGTATTATATGCCTTCATTGAACTATAGGCAAGCCTTGGATCTCATTTCTGAGTCAAACATTTTATCTATTAAGACGAGAGTGGAACTAATATTTTAGGCATCATTATCAGAATAATGCTAATGCTTGCTACTCCCCCCCACCCCCATGTGTGTGTTGGTGTGTGTGTGTGTGTGTGTGTGTGTGTGTGTGTGTGTGTGATTTTTACTCTTTGAGATCATTGGGAAAACTTTACAAATTATTTACTATAGTGAAAGCCATAGGTTTTAGTAATAAAAGACATAAAATTTTGGCATCTTATGGAAGTTATTTCAGCCCTTCATAGTACTCCAGTATTAAACACATCTTCTAAAAGAACACAAAACGGATGGAGGAAATTTCTTCAATTCAGGAACACTACTCAAGTATACCTATGTGATATTGTCATTATCTTGCATCCCAAATTTAACACAAGAAATCAATCCCCACATGCCCACAAATTGGAAGAAACCTATTCATCCCAACCTCTCAAGTATATAGGAATAAAACAGTGTTTTCTGGGAGGAAAATAATCTAGAGGTTTAACAAAAAGCAAAAGATTTTCACATTTCACATGACAAAGACATGAAAAGTCTCCTTTAACTTTGACTTAACCAATTTCAATGTCAGAATCTTTATCATGTTTCATATAATTATTGGGCATTAAAAGAACTTCTTAAGGCCTGGGCCTGTTAGCACCTGCCTTGCAGGTGTGAGGCACTGGGTTCCTTGATTAGCACCACATAAAAATAAACAAAAGCATTGTGTCCATCTACAACTACAAAGAATTTTTTTAAAAGAACTTCATAAATGTCTGTCACTTGGGCTGGGGATGTGGCTCAAGCGGTAGCGTGCTCGCCTGGCATGCATGCGGCCCGGGTTCAATCCTCAGCACCACATACAAACAAAGATGTGTCCGCCAAAAACTAAAAAATAAATATTAAAAAGCGCGCTCTCTCTCTCTCTCTCTCTCTCTCTCTCTCTCTCTCTCTCAAAAAAAAATTCACTATATCTTTAAAAAAATAAAAATAAAAAACATAAATGTCTGCCACTAAATATTTTTATAGTTATTGTCTGATGAGAAAGATGCTTTCTTATTTCAGCAGTCTATCAACTGATGTTACAGAATGGAGAAAGCCTGGTTGTAATTTAGGAATAATTCTCAAGGAGATTATGCTTTCATTGCAAAATAAATATGTCTGCAGTATTGCTCATGTTACTTTATTACAAGTACTAAAAACAATATGCCTTGGATTGTACCGATTAGATCCAGAAGGAATTTGGGGTTTTAGTGTTTTTAAAGATCTAAGAAAGATTATCTGATCCAGATTCGTTAATATAAAACTGAATCCCAAAGAAGTGGAGTGAGTACCCACATCTCCCAACCCTATCCAGTGCTCTTTTCTTGTGCCTTCCTATCCCTGTTTTTGCTGGCTGGAAGTTTTAAAAGTCTAGCAGTTCTAAACAGCAGCCCAAGTATTCCATGTATAGCTTGTCAATCATTCTGATTTAAAATGTAATTTTTTTAAAACACATTTTCCTTGTTTTTATTTATGTAACAGTGTTATTCTACGAGTTTGTTATCATGATTCCTTGACACCTGCAAACTCTGCAAGCAATTACTGTGACTTCTCAATGAACAATTGTTAACATGGGCTTGATCAGACAGAAAGAGCTTCAGAGTGATTGCTTTTATGATTTTTCAAAATCCAAAGAAAGCAATGTATATTGTAGAAATTAAACATTTTGTGTGCTATATCACTTGAGTTTTGGAGAATGATTTGAATCTGAGCCACTGTAAATGACAAATTGACCTTGGATTTTTTTTTCTAACTTTCATGCAAAATTAATTATCTGTGTTTTATATGCATGTATTAATAATTTGCTCTCCTTTACTCACTTTTTCATACACTTTATATGTTTCTGCAATTGGTTTAATGATTACAAAAGCCCAAGAAGATAATACTAGGGTGCATGTTTAGTTTATACACTTAATCTCCAACTTAGCACTTTATAGTAAGGAATTTTAACCCTTGAACTAAAATAAAAACTTGTGTTTTGATTTCCTTGTTTGCTTTTGTTTCTAAAGTCTCTAGAAGTGGCAGAGAATGTAGGCCACTTCAGGCAGTAGAATTTGTACTTCTAGGGCAAAGTTAGCATTTCCTATCTAATAGCTTCCCAAGTTAAATAATCATAGTTGTGATGTTTTTAAAAAGCAAACTTGGTCTATCACTTAGAAACCATTTTATGCTTTCAAATTAATCTTCAAGAGAAGATGAACTTTAAAATTTTCAGCTGCTGCCAGGACCCACTCTGCTACATCTAGTCACTGAGGTGCTGTCCTCTTGAGGTGAGCAATGCCTTGGTCACAGCCATCACTTTGTAAAGATGAATGAGTAGGCCTCAAGACCTTACATAGAGAGGAAAGCAAAGGAAGGTTCAAACTCCTGACTTTTACAATCATCAGGTCCAGATCA